TAATATAATATAATATAATATAATATAATATAAAACGTTGTATAATAAAATATATTAAACAATATTTAATATAATTACCATGCAATATTATTTTATATATTATCAAAACAGAAAACAGTCCTTTTGTCAGATTTATCTGTCTTCTGAGGACAAAATCTGTCCTTGAAGTACAGCTAAGTAAATGCACACAGACAGAAAGTCACACAGTCACCCAAAGGCAGAGAAAAGGACACAATGTTTGATGAAAATCTACAGCCAACAAAGGAGGCACCTCCATCTGTCCTGCAGTGAACTCGCTACTGTTCAGCTTCCACACTCCACACAGACTCTTGAACAGCGCACATTTTTCTAGGTTAACATTAGATTGAGTGCACATGTAAAGTTGCTAATTCTTACATATTTCAGATGATAAGCCATATTTGAGGTCAGTGAATGATAGGTGAGTGTTTGGATGTTCTGTCCGATGTACTGTATTACCATAGACAAGTCGTTAACGATCTGTTCGTCACGTGTGACTTCGCCTGTGGATTTTTTTTTTCTGCAACTAAGCAACTAATAAAATTTTGGTCGACCAAGCCTCTTCTGGTCGACTAACAATTAGTCGACTATTAGGGTGCAGCCCTAATATATATATATATATATATATATATATATACACTCACTGGCCACTTTATTAGGTACACCTTGCTAGTACCGGGTTGGACCCCCTTTTGCCTTCAAAACTGCCTTAATTCTTCGTGGCATAGATTCAATAAATAGAGCGGTGTCATCTATAAGGACAGATGGCTCACTCTGCCAAATGAAAATAAAACCACGCACACATGAGTCATGAATATCTCTTCATCCTGATTCCAGCGTCGCACCTGTTCAAACATCTCTTATCTCTTCCGATCTGTTTCCTGTTTCCTTCGTTATTCATTGAGAACATAATTCATACGGACTCGCATCATTTCATTTCTCCGATAAAATATTCATTTGATTTTCAGTGGCTTTTAGGCAGAAGCAGCTAAAATTTGAGAAATCAAAACCAGAAGTAATATTTAAGAAAATTATGAAATTTACATATACATTTATACATTTATGAAATAACATGAATACTACAGTATATGTCTCATTTATAATTAATATTCTTAATTTATATATTATACATATATATATACATATACATATATATATATATATATATGTTTCATACGGATTAATCTGAGAATAGGCTATTTGTTTTCCATTTGAATTGGTTCATTTGAAAGTAGACATTTCACTCTCTATAGATATATTTTTAATGTCTGTAA